GTGGGTGGATTTCAGGAGTGTAGTAGCGCAAAGATGTAGGGTTCAGGTAAAAGACCTCTGCGTGGGCAGAGGCAGCAGTGCATGTGTCCTGGCGATGGTATAGAGCTCCTCCACGTAGAGCCACTTCACCCTGATGTTCCACCATGTCGGTAGTCCACCAAATAGTGCCGTGGATAGCAAGGAGTACAGCTAGAACTGACCACCAACGGCCAGCTCCGCCACCAAGTTTAAAGCTGGTCGGGAGGCCCAACCAGATGCTTCGCCTAAGGCGAAGCATACGCCCAACTCTGCCGTATCGTGTTGACGATGGTGCCCGAAGTGGGAAGGAGCCGCGTGAGCGGCTGTGATACATCTCAAGAGTAAAGGGTGGAACCTTTTTGGTCTCGATCTAAGGTAGCGAACTGCGGTGCGGCCTGGTGAGATAGGTGGCCGGTCACTGGGCCAAAATGGCCGCGGACAAACGCTCGATACATCTCGCTTTTGCCCTTCCTCCTTCAGAGTCGGCGACCTCGGCGCCTGCGTTCAACGCTGAACGCCGCTGGCGACCGAGAATTGGTCGATGTTGAACGATCTGACGTTTCGGAAACGGCCGATCGTTCAAGGTTGAGCGATTCCCGCGGTGTGAGAAACCAGCGCCAAAGACGGCACGACGCGAACCTGCCGTAGAAGGGCCCGGCTGTAGTACTGGCTCGTAGCAACGGGCCGCGTGCACGGCGACTCCCCCGGGCTAGAGCGTAATGCGGGTGTTGAGGCCCAAACGAGCACCGTCTGAAAAATCATAGTAACCAGTTGGCACGGCCTCAACGTGCGCCAGGAATACTCGAGGACTGTGCGGAAAATCACGCAGACGGGATGTTGAGGCCCTGAACTGAGGGCCTCAACATGGCCCAAAGGAAAACCAAAAGGAGCTCTATGAGGGCCTCAGGGAGCTCCCCAGACGGTCCAGGACAGCCCCAAGGGGGCCAAGACGGTCCAAAAGGGGCCCCAGACAAGCCAAGCGGGCCCCAAGATGAACCAAGAGGGTCCCAAGACGTCCCCAAGACAGCCTTATCCCCAGACGGCCGAGAGGTTCCCAGAAAGTCCCAGACGGCCCAAGAGGAGCACAACAAATAATCCAAAAGAGTTACAAGACGAGGTTGGGCCCCCGTCAGAGCGCATCACGGAAGTGAGACAAGAGGTGTCATGAGGGGATCCGCCCAGACAAGATCTCACCAGCGCGGAGGCAACGGGCCCGTCGTGGACAGATGCGCAAAAACGATGTCGCCGCACGGACAACTTAAGAAATGAATCGAATGAATTGTGCGACGTGCGATGGGCGCGCCGTGGACAGCTTACATTACGCACCTGATGAGGTGTCACATGCTACGGCTGTATTGGCGGTGCCCGAAGCGTCGCCACGCAGCGTGCTGCGCTGGCACGGTGGCCGAACGTGCTGGAGGCACCTGGTTGGACGGACAAGCAAATACTAAACGAGCGCAATGGACGAGCGCGCCCGACCGCAAAAAACGTCTTCCTCATGCTTCCCCCCCCCTTTCCGCCCCCCCTCCTCGGCAGTGCGTCTACGGGAGAAGGCCGATGGGGACGGGTCTTCTCGGAAGGTTCAGCATGTAGGGGGCCACATGCGAACCCTACCCCTACCCCCCACGATTTCTGAGGGGGAGGGTGGGGTTCACTTCGCTCGGGAGCCCCCGAACGAAGCGAACCCCACCCTCCCCCTCAGAAGTCGTGGGGGGCAGGGGTAGGGTTCGCATGTGGCCCCCTGGCATGCCGGAGGCCCTCTGAGAAGCTCTCCAGGCCTTCTCTGGAGCCACGGCGGGCATCTCCGAGGGGAGGAGGGCCTCTGAGAAGCCCCGCCGCCCTCTGAGAGGGCCTGCCCCCTCCAGGATCGTCGTCGTCTGGGACGGAGGAGGAGCAGGCGCAGGAGGAGGAGGAGCAGGGGGGGGGAGGGGGAGGGGGAGGGGAGGGGGAGGGGGAGGGGGAGGGGAGGAGGAGGAGGATGGAGGAGGGGGAGGAGGAGGAGGAGGAGGAGGAGGAGGGGAGGAGGAGGAGGAGGAGGAGGAGGAGGAGGAGGAGGAGGAGGAGGAGGAGCTCGCGCCTCCAGCGACCGTCCCGGAAGATCCGGGCACCCCCAGATGGGGGGCCCAAAAACTGGACCCTCCCCCAGGAGAGAAGAAAGGCAGCGGAGGGCAGAGGAGAGAGGAGGAATCGACGTGGTGGTCCCACACCTCACCGGCACACGATGCTGGACGCGGTTGTGAGAGAGTTCTTCGGGGGCGGCAAAGAGGGGGGTGATGACTAGGGGGGGGCGAATATCATGGCGGGGGCCATGATATTTGCCCAGCTTTCATGGCGCTTCTTCGTAGTTCCTTTTGGGCCCCCACCAGACGCCTCTCGGCCGGGCGCAGCCGCCCGAGGGCCTCCCGAGGCCGGAGCACCGCCGAGAGAGCCCGCGAGCGCGCGCCGGACGGCACGGAGCTTCGAGCGGCCGAGGCTTCGGAGACGGGGAGAGCGCGGGGGGACGTCAAGTGGGAGGGCCCCCAGCCATGCACCAACACCGACCCTGGCCAGGATCGGTGTTCCTCCTCCTCCTCCTCCTCGTCCTCCTCCTCCTCCTCCTCCTCCTCCTCCTCCTCCTCGTCCTCGTCCTCCTCGTCCTCCTCCTCCTCCTCGTCCTCCTCCTCCTCCTCCTCCGCCTCCTCCTCCTCCTCCTCCTGTGTATGGTTGGGGCCCTCCGACCAGGGTGGGGCAGGGGTCGAGGCGGAGCTGGAGGGAGATCGCTCCAAACGGCCCCTGAGAGACGGCAGTGCGAGCATCCAGCCGGGTTCGTCGCCCAGCCCCGCCGTGGGTGAAGTCGGGCGTGTCCCCCTACACCCTGCGAAATGCTTAAGAAATCATGGGTTAAGAAATTCATAGTCTCAGAATTTGAATAAAAACCGAGAACTTCTATCAAAATCTTGGGATTTACACTGAAACGTTAAGAATAATCGAGACTCTGGCCGAAAACTTGGGTTTTCTTAAGCATCGCCTGGAGTGTACAGGGGGATCTTCGACGAAGAATGAAAAATGGACCCAAATATCCCCAAATGGTCAAGAACTACTCCCACAACAGTCCCCATACTGATTTTATGACTACTTGTGAATCTTCCTCCTGTAGAGGGACAGGCCCGACTGAAGCCTTGGGATAAACCCCCCCCCTCCCTGAGATCCCGGCGTTGCAATCTCTGCTGTCACAACGGGCGCCTCCGCCCGGTCTCGGGCCCCGGGGCCCTCACGGATCGATCCGGCCCGAAAAGTGGAGCAGAGAGGCGGGGCCTACTGGAGGCCAAGAAATTGGCACCAACACCAACACAGGGAGTTGCCTTCGAATGGGGAAGAAGATCCTAGATTTCGGTGTTGGTGGCAATCTTTCGGTCACCCTGGAAGCCAGAACATTGCCACAATCACCGAGATCGGGATCGTCTTCCCTCGGTGGAGGCACACCGCCGATCTTGGTGTTGGTGTCAACCTCCAGGCCTGCGAGTCTAGGGCTTCGGTCGCTAGTTTTTGTACGATGATTCAACTTTGTCGCGACGTCGGATCTCAGTAGAGAAACGATCTCTGTACACCGACGCTTCTTCCCGCTCTGGGCTGAGACTTGCACAGGAAAGCGGATCCTGGTGCATGCGGCATCCTGATTACATTTTTGGTTGCTTCCCCGGGACAACGCGGAACAGAAGCATACGCCACACCACCCCGACGTCGTCCCCGACCCTCAAGCAGCCATGGGATTGAAGAACAGCCCACCACTGGCAATGCTTGTGGATGCCATGACAATGGACACTCTAACAATCCTATCCTTGAATGAAACATGTATGTAAAATGTGTAAATGATGTTCTAAAACATGTTTCAAACATGTTTTTACATGTTCAAAACATAGTTTAAGCATTTTGTAGCCATCTGGGGCAATCATTTGGCAGCATGCTTCCTCTCCATGTAATCGACTTCCACAAGCGATGCGCATGCGCAATCCCCCAAGGGACCTCACCGCACGGTCCGTCACCGCACGGTCTTGGGACAATGGAGGCCCCTGTCGCCCGAGACATCCTCAGACAGGAACTCGAGCCCCAAAACCGTGCGGCGACCACGAATCCCCACCGACTCACCGCACGGTGTGGTCACCGCCCCGTCTGGGGGCCCCCGAAACTTCGGGAGCGGTCAAGAGGGGGGTGTCCAAGAAGGGGGGGGGGCTAATCATGACCGGCGGTATGTGCGCAGCCCAGCGGGGGGGGGCAGGGACGCAATGAAATAAGAAGAGGCGCCATGAAATCTGGGCAAATATCATGGCCCCCGCCATGATATCCACCCCCCCCCTAGTCATCCCCCCCCTCTTTTCCGCCCCCGAAGATGTTGGAGCGGCCAGATGTCCGGTCTGGGTACAGATCCACTGCCACAGGCCTGGCCCCGTCCAGGCCCAGAGAAGCGGTGTGCATGCCTCCCTTGGCCAAAGGGCCAGGAGGGGATATATACACCGCCACTGTAGGTCCCGTCGCCCGAAGGGCTGGATGGATCACCCCCATCTTTGCCGCCCCCGAGAGCGGCCGCTGCGGGGCCCCAGCGAGCCCCCGGGGAAGCGCCCGCGAGCCTCGAGCCCGCGGAGCCCAGGAGTTTCTTCCCCCCCCCGGCGGGGCGCGCCGCCGACCTGCCGAGCCCCACCCGCTCGGCCCGCCCACCGGCCCGGCGCTCGCGGGGGGGCGGCCCGCCGCGTCGTCCGCCAGGGGGAGGAGGAGGAGGGGGAGGGGGAGGGGGAGGAGGAGGAGGAGGAGGAGGAGGAGGGGAGGAGGAGAGGAAGAGGAGGAGGAGGAGGAGGAGGAGGAGGGGAGAGGAAGGAGGAGGGCGGGGAGGAGGAGGAGGAGGAGGAGGAGGAGGGAGGAGGAGGAGAGGCCCATCGCCCTCCCCGGCATCGCGCGCCCCCCAGCTGCCCTCCTCGCTCCTCCCCCCCACCCCCTCCCGAGGGGCGCGCCGCCGTGTCGTCCGCCACGACGGCCCGCGCCGCGGTCAGGCGCCCCTGGCGTGGACCCTCCGAGCGGGCGGGCCAGGGGCAGCGATGCGAGGCGGCCTCTCCCTCCTCCCTCCCCTCCCTCCTCCCTCCTCCCCTCCTCCCTCCCCCTTCCTCCCATCCTCCCTCCTCCCTCCTCCCTCCTCCCTCCTCCCTCCTCCCTCCCCCCGCCCTTCCTCTCCTTCCTCCTCCTCCTCCCTCCTCCCCCTCCCCCCTCCCTCCCCCTCCACTCCTCCCTCCTCCTCCTCCCCTCCCTCCTCCTCCTCCTCTCCTCCTCCTCCTCCTCCTCCTCCTCCTACTCCTCCTCCTCCTCCTCCTCCTCCTCCCTCCTCTCTCCTCCTCTCCTCCGCCTCCTCCTCCTCCTCCTCCTCCTCCTCCTCCTCCTCCTCCTCCTCCTCCTACTGCTGGCGTGGACCTCCTAGCGGGCGGGCGGGCCAGGGGCAGCGATGCGAGGCGGGGATCCATCCGGATCCGCCGCCCGGGAACCGGCGTCCGGGTGCCCCAGGCGGGCGGTGGATGTGGATGTATGTCGGCCCCCGGGGGCCCGAATATGTGTCCATATCCACCGCCTGCCGAGGCTCCGAAAACCGCCGAGGCGGGCCAGGGCAACGAGATCCCTGCCAGTAGGGGGCCACCTGCGAGCCCTACCCCTGCCCCCCACGATTTCTGAGGGGGAGGGTGGGGTTCACTCCGCTCGGGAGCTCCCGAACGAAGTGAACCCCACCCTTCCCCTGGCGGACAATGCGACGCACGGAAACATACCAGTACTGGATGTCCTCCTCGGAGGCGCGCGTCCGACCCGACCATATATATAATATAAATAGATAGAAGACCCATCTTGTAGTATACCGTTTCCCGAGCGGTGTGGCCAGAAAGCGCCCCCCCCACGACGCATGTACTCTTAGATTTCTCGGTGAGCGCGTCGCCCCTGGGGGGGGCGACGCACGCATGATAGTAGCATGTTGGGGTGAAGCCGAGGCAAGGGCAACGAGATCCCTACCAGACAAGCGCTCTCCCCTACTCGTCAAGTGGATACGCGCAAGCGGCCTGCATCCGCCGAGGCGGATGTGTGATGCATGAAGCAGGGGCAGAGGTACGTTTCTTTGTCGGACGTCTGCGAGTTAGGGGCACGCGCTCGGCGACCTACCCTGAGCTCCGGCGCTCCAAACAAAAACACGGCAGCGGCGGGCGGGGGAGGCGGGGGAGGCGGGATGCGGGGGAGGGGGAGGAGGAGGAGGAGGAGGAGGAGGAGGATGAGGAGGAGGAGGAGGAGGAGGAGGAGGAGGATGAGGAAGGACCGGGGGAGTGAGGCAGGAGGAGCGGAGGAGGAGGAGGAGGAGGAGGGAGAGGAGGAGGAGGAGGAGGAGAACGGGGAGGGGGAGGAGGAGGAGGAGGAGGGGTAGAGGAGGAGGAGGAGGAGGAGGAGAGGAGGAGAGAGGAGGAGGAGGAGAGAGGAGGGGGCCCGTTTCGGCCCCCGGGGGGCCCTCGCCTGGCCTCGGGGCCGCCCGAAGACGGCTCGGGACAAGAAGCTTAGCCCCAGGGAAGTGGTCCCGACCTCCGGGGCCCACGTGTCGCAGATGTCGGGAGCGGCCAAGAGGGGGGTGTCCAAGAAGGGGGGGGTGCAAATCATGGCCGGCGGCATGTGCACGGCCCAGCGGGGGGGCCAGGGAGCGCATTGAAACGGGAAGAGGCGCCGTGAAATCTGGGCAAATATCATGGCCCCCGCCATGATATCCACCCCCCCCTAGTCATCCCCCCCTCTTTTCCGCCCCCGAAGATGTTGGAGCGGCCAGATGTCCGGTCTGGGTACAGATCCACTGCCACAGGCCTGGCCCCTTCCAGGCCCAGAGAAGCGGTGTGCATGCCTCCCTTGGCCAAAGGGCCAGGCGGGGATATATACACCGCCACTGTAGGTCCCGTCGCCCGAAGGGATGGATGGGGGGGGGCGGGTCCCAAGAATCCGCCGACCTTGTCGGCGTGTGGAAGACGCTGTTCTGGTTGACGCGCCGTCGTCGTCGCCGTCGCCGTCGCCGTCCCCGTCGCGTTTGAACCCCTTTCCCTGGGCCCGACGCCGCTCCCCCCCCCTTTCACTGGGCCCTCCTCCTCAAGCGAGCCGGCCAAAGCGAAACCAAAGCGAAATGGAGCAACGTCGTAGTTGAGTCGAAGGGAAGCCCCTTCCTTTGGATCCCTTCCCCCCGATGGGGGGGGGGCAGGGGTCCCAGGAGGGTCCTTGGGGAGGTCCCGAGGGGGATCCTGAGTCCTGGGGGGGGTCCCGGGTCAGAATACCATCCTCCCCCGGGGGGTCCCGGTACCCATAAGCACCAGGACGGCCAAAGACCAGAGGCCCCCCCAAGACTGTCCAAGAGGGCCCCAGATCGCCGAACAAGTGGTTCCAAGACGCCAGGGATGGCCTCCTGACAGCCCAAAGCGGCTGCAAGGACGCTGGAAGAGGCCTCCAAGAGCACACCCAGAGGGCCCCAAGAGGCAAGATGCAATGACTTTCTGCAAATTGTTCAAAAAGATTCTGGCGCTCTCGCCTGTTCGGCGCCCCGACGCCCCCACGACGGCCCAAGACGCCACCGAGGTCGACCCGAGAGGCCCCCAAGAGGTCTCCAAGACGGCCCCAAGACACGGCCCTAGAGGCCTCCCAGACTGCCCAGGAGGCCCCCCGCAACGGCTCCGCGAGGGTGCCCACCTGCGAGCCCGAAGGAACACTTCGAGGCCTCGGCCCCGAGGAGCTCCCGGGAGACCCCAAGAGGCCCCCAAGAGACCCCACGAGGCCCCCAGGGAGGCCCCCGGGAGGCCCCGGGGAAGCCCGCAGGGGCCCCAAGACGCTCCCAGGGTGCCCCCAAACTGCCCCCCCGAGCCCTGCGGGCGCGCTCCGGAGAGGCCCCGGGGAGCATCCCTGAGGACTCTGCCCCACGTCGGCGTCGTCGTCGCCGCCGACGCCGCCGTCGTGGTCGTCCCCCTTCAGGGTCGGCGGCACCGGCCGCAAGGCCTTCCCAATGTACACCACTACCACTTCCATTCCCCCCCATACTTTCGGGTGTTGCCAGAAGTGCCCCTGGGCCAAGGTGCCCCCAGGATTCCAGGGGTACCCCAAGCGGCCTCCAGAGCACCCCTCACGAGTTCCAGAGGGCCCCAGAGGCTCCAATATGGAGCGAAAAGCTGGGGGCACCTTGGGCCAGGGGTACTCTTAGCAACACCCGATACTTGACCCTCATCGTCCCTTCCTCTTTGCTGGGAGGGGGAGGGCATGAGGAAGGTGGTGGTGGTGGTGTATATGTTCGGGCCCCGTAGGATGGAAGAGGTGCAGACATCAAAGGGAAAGGCTCGGCCAGGCGATGCTCGGCCAGGCCGAGCCCGACCTGGCCGAGTTTTCCCCAGCCGAGTCTAGTTGTTGCCCAGGGAGGCGGTGAAGGAGGGGGAGGGGGAGGGGGCGATCGAGGGGATGCGGGGGGAACCGGATGGGAAACGGGGAGGGGAAGGAGGGCGGGTATGGGGGTGCGGGAGATAGAGAGAGAGAGAGGGGAGGGAGGACGGAGAGGGGGAGGCGGAGATAGAGCGATGGGGGACTGCAGAACGCAGCAAATAGGGGCGGGTGATCGCTTATCTCCATGCCACATGTACCCCTCCGCTCGGTCTAAGATTACCGACGTGCTGTGTCCCTCCAACAAGCACGTGCCGAGTCTGCCGTGCTTCCTCGTGGACAGCACGCCGGAGACGCCATGTCGCCAGGTTCGGCTTGCTGGTGCAAACGGCAAGCTCCTGCCTTGACAACGTCGGTTCTGGCTCCCGATACCGCGCGGAGCGCTGAACCTGGAACGACATCCTCCCTCTCCCCGTCCTCCTCCTCCTCCTCCTCCTCCTCCTCCTCCTCCTCCTCCTCCTCCTCCTCCTCTTAGCCCATCTCCCCTCGAGGGCGGGGGTTGGGCGCGCGTACTTGAGAAGGGCGGCGCGCGTCCGAGCCGCGGGATGTCATGGCGCGATTCTGCGCCCTGGCGGCAGGGGAGAGCGACGAGGCAGAACCCGTATCGCTTCGTTGGCGCTGGGCGCGAGGAGGTGCTGGACATGGTGGAGACGACTGTCGCGGCGGCGGTCTCGGCGGCGATACGCGCTGCCACGCCGCCTGGCACGGCTCCCCAGCCGCCAAGGCCTTCGGCGACGCCGATTCGGCCAACGGCGGCGATCCTGGACGGCGAGGTGGTGGCCAGGGCGCCCTCGCTCCCTCCAGGAAACTGGTCAAGGCTGGCAGCGAAGCTTCGCTCGAGGACGAGGTCTCCGAGGGCGGCGACGGCAGCATCGGCATCGAGGAGCTCGAAGCCGCCATCGGAGCGGGTGGGCGCCATGCCGAAGAGCGCCTCGCCCGCGGTGGGGTTCGAGGAGGACCAGAAGAAGCGGAAGAAGGAGAAGAAGGAGAAGAAGCACAGGAGGCGGTCGCCCTCGGCCGTGGAAGTGGATTAAGCAAGGCGGTGCATTTCGAGCTGGCCGATGGCGACGGCGAGTACTGGTTCGACGGCGACGGTGACGGCGCGTTGTTCGACTGGTACGACGGCAAGAAGGAGTACAAGGGCAAGGGGTTGGCGGCGGTGCCGCCCTTCCCGACCTTGGAGGGCACGCTCGGTCATCGCGCAGGTGAGCTGGGTCATCACGGGGGCGTGCCGAATCATCGTGGAGGTGAGCTGGTCCAACGTGGAGGCGAGATGGGTCAGCGTGCAGGTGAGCCGGGTCATCACGGCGGTGAGCTGGATCATCGTGGAGGTGAGCTGGTCAAACGTGGAGGCGAGCTGGGACATCGTGCAGATGACCGTGGAGGTGAGCTGGTCCAACGTGGAGGCGAGCTGGACCATCGTGCAGGTGAGCGAGGTCCATCACGCAGGTGAGCAGGATCCTCGTGGAGGTGAACTGGTCCAACGTGGAGGCGGGCTGGGTCATCGTGCAGGAGAGCTGGGTCTTCACGGAGGTGAGCTGAACCATCGTGGAGGTGAGCTGGTCCAACGTGGAGGTGCGCTGGGTCATCGTGCAGGTGAGCTGGATCATCGTGGAGGTGAGCTGGGCCTTATGGCCGTGGCCTCCCCTAGCCCCTCCGCCCTCACCTCCCCGTGGCGCCTCGGCTCGGCGCCCCCGAGGCGCCACATCGCGGGGGAGGCAGAGGAGGAGTCGGGAGGCCAGGACGGGGAGGGTCACGGCGGTGCGGCTGTCGTGGAGTGCGCGGAGGTCCCGCAGCAGGAGTTGGCGTCGGATTTCCCGATCCCGCCCCTCGTGAGGGCGCAGAACGCGGAGGTCTTCATCAAGACGGAGCAGGTGGCAGCTGCTCGGAGGTTGGCCTCGGACGTGGTCACGGCCACAGCCGTCAAGAAGGGCCAGTTCGAGCCTGGTGAGCGGGATCATCGTGGAGGTGAACTGGTCCATCGAGGAGGCGAGCTGGGCCATCGTGCAGGTGAGCTGGGTCTTCACGGCGATGAGCTGGATCATCGTGGAGGTGAACTGGTCCAACGTGGAGGCGGGCTGGGTCATCGTGCAGGTGAGCGGGGTCATCACGCTGGTGAGCTGGATCCTCGTGGAGGACTGGTCCAACGTGGAGGAATACGGACGCCGGGGGGTGGGAAGACGGCCGCCCCCTCGATCTTCCCACCTGCGGCGCGGCGTGCGCTGGGTCATCGCGCAGGTGAGCTGGGTCATCACGCCGGTGAGCTGGAGCAGATGGGAGACAACAGAGTGCGAAGCGCGCTCGAAATTTTGGCAGACCTCTTGGATACGATCGCGAACAACAGCGACGATCAAGAGTTCGTGGGCAAGTTGACGGTGGAGGTCACTTCCTGGGTCAAGACGTGTGCGAAGCTCGGCGTCGACCTCGGAGACCTCAAGGAGAAGTTCGAGGGTCTGGACGTGGTGCAGTACTCGGCTTCTTCAGGCGGTGGGGGCCCGCAATTCCCCTAGCATCGGCGGCTTCGCTGTGCTGTCGCTCTACCTGAGACGGCGGGGGTCCGTGGTTCCCCCAACAACGCGCCCAGCTTGGAGAGCTGAGCAGGCAGCTTGCTGCGCGGAGGCCCGTGCCCTCCTGCGAGCAGGCTGACAAGGCGGCGAGCGAGGTCCGCGGGCCTCGGAGCGCGCGCCTGGACCCTTCCCTTCCCCCCCTGCTCCTCTCTCTCGCGCACGTCTCCGTGCTGGGGCAAAGAGTCCAAAGAGTCCTCCTCCTCCTCCTCCTCCTCCTCCTCCTCCTCCTCCTCCTCCTCCTCCTCCTCCTCCTCCTCCTCCTCCAGGGGGAGGAGCGGGAGGGGAAGAGGGAGGGGAGGGGGAGAGGAGGAGGAGGAGGAGGAGAGGAGGAGGAGGAGGAGGAGGAGGAGGAGGAGGAGGAAGAGGAGGAGGAAGAGGAGGAGGAGGAGGAGGAGGAGGAGGAGCAGGAGAAAGAGGACCACCGCAAACCCAGGATTCATCAACGCTGTTGCAAGAAGCCCTCCAGGTTCCCTCTCCAAAGGTCCCTACAAAAGGTAGTTTTTCCTTGTTTCACTAGGAGACATACCCCGTTGGAAGACGACGTCTGAAAGTCCTGAACCCCGCCAGAAAACCCTTCCTGGGACTTCAACGCCGCAAATCAACGTCATCGTTGCATCCTAACGATCCGGAATCGTGCCAGAACACCATTCCTCAAACTTCAGCTCCGCAAATCAACGTACCTGGTGCGCCGTGAGAACCCTACACCGTGCCAGAACACCATTTCTAGTACGTCAACCATAAGAAGTCCTTGAAAATTGTGCGACGAATTGGCGCGGCAGTACGGCAATAATCATATTTTGAAGACCGGCCACCCCCCAGCCGTGAAACTCTGGCTAACTCTTAAGACAACTGTGCGTGGCACTAGGTGAGAATCACAATTCGAAAACCGCCCCTCCTCCGCCTGTGAAACTGATGCAGATTCTCAGTAAAGAATCAGAAACGGTGAGGGGTTCTCAGGCGAAACGCCCGACCCGCCCGACCGACACGTCTCGAGGTGCGACAAGGAGGTGTGATTTATAAGGAGGAGGCATGGAGGAGGAGGAGGAGGAGGAGGAGGAGGAGGAGGAGAGGAGGAGAGGGAGGAGGAGGAGGAGGAGAGGATGAGGAGGAGGGGGGAGGAGAAAGGAGGAGGAGGAGGAGGAGGAGAAGAAGGAGGACGAGGAGGACGAGGAGGACGAGGAGGAGGAGTGAAGGAAGGAGGAGGAGGAGGAGCAGAAGTGGGAGATGGG